GTCAACTGAGCTGAATTCATCACAGGAAAGCAGGCCAACATTATCAGTGCCCGAAACGAATCGGAACAGTTCAGGTTTTTTGAGTTTTTGATTTTGTACACTATGAATAGTTTTTTGATTTTGAACTGTTTGAATTCTTTGATTCCCATCAAATACACAAAAGAATTTTTGGATCGAAGTAATTTTTTTACAGGTGCTAAGCGAGGTGAGAACAGTGACGAAGTTTCGGACAGTTCCCCTGTGCATGGCGGAAGTGAGAGAACAACTGATTTGAGCGGTGCAATGCAGGATGCTACAAAATTGAGCTCAAGCTTTGGGTATGGTTTTCTTGCAATCTCAGCCGACCACGGAGTGACTGCCATGGTTAGGAACTCCACAAAAGAGCTCGGCTCGAATGCTTTAGTTCAACCAGATAGGACCATAACTGATGGTGCTGAAAAAACCACCTCATCAACTGACCCGTTAATTGGAATTTCAATAATAAAGAAATGCGTAAGTAGAATTGCCGCAAGCTCTTACAGACCCAGAGGCACCGATCCGGGAACAGACCACATGGGAACTGTTGTGGACGACGAGAAGGTAAAATCGCGTAAGCATAACAGAAACAGTGCGCTTTCCACAGTTTCGAACGATCCTGCGAACGATTCAACTGGAGCTACCATGTTTTCAATCGATGAAACCATCACAAATCCAGATCTGATTTCAAGTGACACTGATTCTAAGAACGATGAACAAAAATATGCATCGGTTAATGGGAAATTCACTGACCAGTTCATTACTATAGATGGCTCTGTCTTTGAAAAATCAACGTCGAGAGTCCCTAATATAATTATAGAGGAGATGCCTTGTTCAAATGCTGCTACAAATGTCAATGAGCCTGGCGAACCAATTTCAACTGATATCACAATTACTACTGAAACGATTGATCCTGAAATCAACGGAACCAGTTCTGATTCAACAACGTTTAACCCTAGTGATCAATTGTCTCTTTCCGGTGCATTTGAAAGCACTCAGGTCGCTGATGTTTCAGCGGATGATATAAATTCAACTCATGATCAACCAGCTCATACGGATTTGCCAGTGGAGACAACTGGTGAAATTGGTATGAAATCATCGGAACTGAATGCTCACAAGATCACCAGTGGTAAACATGATTCCAGTGTAACGGAGTCAAATGCAAATAAGAATGGCAGCATTGCGAGCATAGGAAAACTTGATGATTCGCTTAATTCAGGTGCAGCTGATAGTATTCAGATGACTGGTACCGCAGCCTCAGATCTCAGTTTTACTTACGATCGTCAAGAAATGACTGAAATCGATTCTAGTGGCGTAAGTGGGATTACGAAATCACCCAATCTGAATGATCACGTTACTGATAAAACGATTGACAAGGTTTTAGAAGAAGAAACCTCCATGAGGGACGATACGGATAACACGAGAGCATCACGTAAAAACAATCGTGGAGGTTCCGTGGTAATTAATCATCAAATCAGAGATCGTTTGAATGTTTCAGATTCTGCCTTAGATACATCTGAAGTCACCGATAGCACTGTAACTGGTATGGAAAAATCGCAACCGTCAATAGCGATTAGATACGCCCATGAAACCACAAGAGCATCAAGCCAAAATTCTGGTAAAATCTTAACCACGGTAATGAGTTCAGATGATTCCTCACTGGGAGAATCTAAGATTTCCAATAGTGATGAAACATCTCAGATAATAGCCACTGAAGACATTAGTTATACAACTGGAACAACTGACGATATGTTGATCTCCAGATCAAGTATGTCAACAGATATGAGTGCCATCAGTGCCAAACGCAGTGCAAATATTATACCTTACTCTAAGGGTTCAGGCAGATTGCGCCCTGCAAAAATCGCAGGAAATAATGAAAACCACCATGTAGCACATTCATTTACCACTTCTAGTGAACGTTTAAGTGTCAACATAAAAACCAATTCACCGGTTGCTCTCAGTGACACTCGGAGCGAAAAACTCATAAGGTCTGAATCTGACGAAACAGTTACATCCCCTCATTTGATTGCAACAGTTTCTGAAGGAGTCGTTCGCGACTTAAGCAAATTTGATTCAACTTTGGATGCATCCTATACCACACCTCCAGCCTTCGCGACAATATCTCGTTTTCGAGAAATAGGTGGAGGCAGTGAAAATCACAACGTTATCGACTACTCAGGAAGTGGCACTCTGATTCCAAAAGAAGATGCAAGTTCGGGCTTGGAAACGAAAGAAGGGGGTGAAGATCACGCTGAAATTGAGGGTATGCCAGTCGCTTCTGGAATTACTAGCACTGATTTACGTAAATCAGCGTATGAAACGGAAAAAACCAGCTCCAGTACGAACGAGAGCACCTTTATCCCACAAACTGACGCAATGCCTTCGTCAGTCGATGAAGTTTCATATCATTCCAGTTTTTATTCTGAAAGCTCGACAGCTGAAAGCAGCGGATATTCGTCGCAGTCGGACGGTGAGGTAACTCCATCAGTATCTATCAATGCGGTTGGCAAAAACTCCCACAAAGTGAATGTTGGAAACATTATTCGACCTGTACAAAAAAGCGAATTGAACCTCAGAACCGATTCGTCGATGAATGCCCGAATATCGGATTCTGTTGGAAACGCATTGAGTACTTCTTCTACTGCAGAGTCGCAATCGGTAAGATCGCAGTACTCGACCACAACTCATTCTTCGCCTATCACTTCCACATCATTTAGGCATATAAAAACACTCAGTAGTCTTTTGGCATCTTATCGATCGTCTAGGCCTTCAGTGAGACAACTGGAGACGTCTCTCTATAGTTCAGTTAACATCGATCGAGAATCAGAGAGGTCAGAAATGAAATCCTCACATACCACTTTGATCCCAACGATCAGTCCTTCGCGCTTTGCAGTGCCTGCCCAGTCAGCTGAGAAAATACATTTGGGCAAAACTGGTTCCAGAAGCATTTCACGAAGTGAAAATCAGAATGTGCACCGAGCAAGCATCATCAACAAAACGTTATCCACAAGAAGTCTTAAACAAGCGACAGCTGCACACAAGCATCAAAATCTTCCTCATGCAACGTCTGATACAATGGACCCGTCCTCAGATGAATCTCAAGAAGTGAGACCATTAAAGCCTGTTCATGGTAATGAAAAGACGTTTATTACAAAGGATCATTCAGCAGCTGAAATGTCCGTTACAGCAAATCCTCCTACGGGATCGCGATCTGCGCATTCAATTGCTCCGTCAAATCAGTTCATACCGACCCATTTCATAACTACCGAGTATTCAAATGCATCCGAAACTGAGAGTACTGAATCAGTTGAAAGTGTCAGCATCTCTCAGCCTAGACATTTTGCAACTTCCTTGACTGAGCGTTTTCACTTCCATGACTGCGCGTCTTCACATACTCCATCGAGCTCACTGGTCACATCCAGCGAACGGACGGCACATTCAAGGAACAGCAAAAATAAAAAAACATCTAAGGCAGTCGGCGAGAAAAGCGACAAAGACAAGGCATCATCGCGTCCAGTTAATGTTCGATCTATTCCTCACCCAAGATTTCCTAAAACATCTGCGATAAGAGAGGTCACCCCCGAGCTAACGTCGCATGATGTTAGTCTTCTTCCGAATCAAAGTGGAAGAAAGTCGCGAGAAATTTCGCCAGATGGTAAGGGCAGTAAGCAGTTGACGACACACGAAAGAACAACCCCACCGCAGAAGTGGAACAATAACAGCGATCATCATACAAGCCATGTATTAGTGCCCATGTTGACCACGGGCCCAAGTAAGTCAATTTATTCATACTCATGTGCTTGACTTTGGATATCCAGCATAAAAACACCATAACTTTTTAGTTCTATGACGATTGTGAGTTTATCTGAAAGAAACTCATACGATTGGTGTAAGAAAACAAATGCAGCATTACACATGAATATTCTCTCATTTGAGTTGGTTCAGCATACCCTCGCATGAAACATAGAACAACCTCTTTGGCCAGAAAAGAATGAATTCAATTTTGGCTTTCTTCACTGCTTGATAGATTCGAGTGATTCGAGTTATTACCAGTCCGTAGCAGTTTAATCGGCCAGATTGTGTTTTTCAGATACACATTGTCCTCAACCAACCGTCAATCTGTCTCACGCAAGTTTACCACTGTCCAGCGACAAGCATTTGGTCGGTGAGCAGCCAGTGGGCACCGAGATTATTCATGTGTGCGCCAACAACTATATATTTCCGCTCAGTCAACAACCCGTTAACGTTTATATTTGCCTCGAAACTGGTCATTGGACCAGCAATATGCGAGGAGAGTCCTGTGAATGTAGGTTGCAAAAATTTGCGTTCCACTCTATTAAATTTCAACGACTAATCTTGTCTTTGCAGTCATTCTCATTGATTTCACTCGCTTGCTCAACACTTTATCAGATTTGTCCAAGAACTCTTTGACCTCACTAAGAAATTCTAATGCAGTTTTCTTTACATAGATATCTTCTTCGATCCTCATTTCGGATTTAATTTCCTATTTTGAATGCCATGAAATTTCAAAATCATATAGCGGTGAAAAAGTTCAATAAAATGATATGATGTACTCATCTGCTCTTCGAATTGTCAGTTTGATCGATAGTTATTATTGGGTTTTTTTAAGATTACACTCGAGCACAGAAGAAAGACGTCTGATAGTACCTGGTGAAGAGGAAGAAGCATGAGGATATTATCAGCTTGCGTGCAAAATAGTTATCATTTTATTTACTCGTTTACGTTTCGTTGTGTTAGACATTTGATTGTGATTGTACCTAGAATTCGACTACGCTACTAACAGCTTAACGGTGACGGTATTTGTGGTAATTTTTTGTCAGAATCTGCACTTGAAAGTTGCTATTAACCAATTTCCGTAGAAGTCATTGTTCTTTGGAAGATTTTTTGTGATTATTATTTCATTGCTGTTACGTTCAATCGAATAAAACCACTATAATCAGTGTTCTGCAGTTACACTCTTTCAATACTGAATCATGCATTCGATTGTAAGCATTTCGTAAATTCAACAAAAATTCTTGTTGTTAGCTCCTTAGATAAAGGCATCAACTCGGATGAGTTTAATCTATCGTTGATCGCCAGCAATACTTGCACAAAAAACCATGAAATGGATGCGATTGAGAGAGTACCCTCAGCTTTGACCAATAACATATGAATTTCTTCACATCAGCCG